GGCAGGGTCAATGATGAGTTTCAAAAGAATAACAGTATGACTAAAAGCGCATGCTCTTTCTCAAAGAGCCGTAGGTAAAAGCACATTGAAAAATCCACTTAAATTAAGTCAGATGATTTGTGCATTTAGTCGTCTGACACGGTATGTTTAAAGCAAGTTCCCAACTGACAAAAGCTTGGCGAACTCGGCGGGGTTCGAACGACGACAGAAATTGTAGGGTTTCATCGCGGTCACCGTTGTACTCACCTGAGTTGAGGGACGGTGAGAGGGCGGCCGACGGCTTTGAGACGGCATGACTGGGAACGCTTGTTCTCTCTATAGGAGCTGAAGGGAAAAGTACATTGCAAAATCCACTTAAAATATACTAACACATTGTTGTTTTAGTCAAGTAGTACGGTATGTTTTAAGTGATCGCCCAATTGTAAGCTACTTGGCTGCCTTGGTGGGATTTAATGGGTAAGGTATGGTTATGGACACAATACTGTTAGGGTTGGGGTTAGGGGTTAAAGTTAGGTGACAGGGTTGAGGGGCTAGGGTTAGGGGTTAGGGTTAGGGGTTAGGACAACTATTTCTTAACCACTCAAAGTACAACCGCGCATTCCCAGCAACTCTTCTTTTGTATGCAACTACCTAACCTCGTCGCCTGTGTGTTTCCCGGTCTCACCTGTAAAACATCTATTACCACCGATGCCGTATAAGAGGTGGATGGGGTTTGTTTACTTCAGGTGAAGTTGCATAACCACATCTGGCCGTTTAATCCGACGACGGAAAGGGCGAAGTTTCAGTAGGCCACTGCTGTACTCACCCGAGTAGAGAGACACAGAAAACAACGTCTTAATTTCTCCATCTTTAGACCAGGTTTTCCGCTCAGTCACCGGCAGTATATTGAGTCCACCACTTCTGCTATAGATGACCGACATCGCGGACAGGCTTTTCTAAGCAGTCAGTCTATAATCCATCAAATGACTGCTAAGTGCATTAAGTTATTAAATTTTTGGGTAGATTTGATTCGACCATGCTCCATACCAATATATCGACCTTCACATCATGACAATTTTTTCCGTTAGAGTACATGACGATGCATTGCATAATTTTTTTCTACAAATGTCTAAAGGCATATATTTGCTGACCCTTTCGGCCCTTTCAAAATCAGAAATTCAAATTCCGTTAACAGAACAACTGACGGCCTCCCGAGGTCACTCGGTTTCTTTTTTTCTATAAGGATGAAATAATGATATGCAAAATCAAGATGAGCCTTGCACTCGCGTATAAGTTGCGTCATTTTTAATATACGGTGGCCACTTCTACGGAAAACTGTTTAAATTATTCACTTTTACCGAAACATTCAGGATTTCAGACCGCCACTAATTCTGAGTTGAGATCTGGCTAGGACATGCATGTGGTAAGAACTGAAGCCCATTTATCGCCGTGTCATGAGCGGACGCAAAGTTTGCGAAATGCAGGTCTGGGACCTTAGCCAATACCATTGCAGGCTTACAAATGAATTGGCTAGGTTATGTGGGATTTTTGCACCGCTATGTACCCAAAAAGAGCTCAGTTCACCTCAAGTGCTGGTGTGGAAGCAGTTTCCGTCTTCTGAAAGGTTTTAAAAAAGTAATTTATGGATGATTTTGAAGTAAGTTACCCCGCCTAGACGACCGATATTGAGAATAAAGAATTAGCAGGACTTAGACAATTCAGACGCACTTTCGGGTGCTTGTTTGGATGTGCGTTTTAGGTTGATTTCAAATGAAAAGGCATTTATGACATTCAAACCAGCCCGCATACAAAGAACTGCTGAATTTTTTTAAGAGAAAGAACCTATTGAAAATATGCTAGACAAGGATGGTCTGCAGAATCAGACGTGGTTCGAATGCGTTTACCTCATTGAACACACAAGTAATTCAAGTCAGAAAAGATCTTTTTTTAGTTGATGTGTTTTATCTCGACTCAAACTCCCAATCACCGGCAAAAAGAATTAAAGTTTTCGTTCATTTCTCCAGAACAACTGCCGATTTTCAGGGTTTTAAAAAAATCATGAAAAGGCGTGAAATGGCTAGTGAATGATGTGCATTTCTTGTGAAATTTTGCTGAAAATGTCATTGTCGGGGACTCCGGAAAATGCTACAATTTCCTGTTCTATCCTTGGCTGCACTACAATGCCGCTAAAGAGTTCCATTCTTTTTGATACATTTATCATTATTTCGGCCTAGTTCTTGAGACCTTTGGTGCATTCCGTGTGTCGGATCAGATTCGAATCAACTCTGCTTAGATCATGGTTCGACAGTTGCTGGATAGGAGTAAGCTCGCATCACCAGTAACAGATGTTAAATTCGCTTTACTGACCAAATGGAAATCAAAGTTTACGATTAAGCGACGGGTGTCCTGTGGGGGATTCTCTGCAGAAAAAAACAGGCTATAGGAAGCAAAATGAGCTTGAATTTCATACGTACTTACGACGCATAAGTACTCTCTTCTGCGTTTAACCATTACATTTCTTGGGCTTTGGCACAACCTGTTTGCCATCCATTTGAGTCAAGACGAAATCCTTCTCCGCCGACACGGCAGGCAAATTTTCTAAACCCCTCAAAATCACCACGCGCGCAGATATATTCCGGTCTGAAAAAATAGTAGTAAGATTGTGCAGAGCTGAAATTTTGCTAGTGCGCATTTCGGTCAATAAACGTCCGATGTGCCATGGATACACAACATTGTCGCTGCAACTAAAGCCGGAGCGACTTTTATCTGCACATTATTCCATTTTGGTCTTGAGTCGTCGTGCGTACCAGTTGCTGAGACATTCAAGGGTCGCCATCTAGCAGAAATGCAGGGGAGGGGGAAAGAACTTCAGGTAAGGCTTGAATTCTTTTCGTTTTTAAGACTGAAATGACTTATACATTGCTGATAAAAGGGTTCATGCTGTCATTGGCAGGGAACGGCTTCCCTCACTGGAAATGACCCTCTGAGATCGAAAGTTCAGCTCATCTGTAGGGGGCTCGAAGGCAGCTGCGATGTCTATGCTTTTAACATATGCCGTGCAGACGGAAATTTAGGACTATGCTGGACGGTGTGTAACATTTACTACGTCGGAAAGTTTTGCTGATGAAGATAGGGACCTCGGAATGACCACTGCCGAGGCGGTTGTCTTCATTGGCCAGTGGCAGTCCAATTCATGCTGTCAGGGAATACTCAGAGAAAGAAAAAAACGTAATCGTTGGAACAAGAAGTTTATTAGTCCGCTGTGCCGGATCCTTCCCCGAGCACATCATCAGAGGCAACTGCAGGTAAGAGTAATGGAGACAAAAGGAGCCCAGTATTTGCAGGACGCAGTTGTCATGCCGCCAAAGGCTTTATATAATTATCAGCACTAGCATTCATCGTCTGTGGTCACATTTGATGAAACATTTGAATACCAGACCGCCTCCTGGTCGTTAATTACTGTAATTTGACACCCGTTTTGATCCTTGGCGTGATAATACTCGATTGTTTGTCCCTCTGTCCCTGGAACTGTTGGTCGCCTGCGCGCTACCCGCGTGACTGCCTGCCCTGCCCAGGCAAAGTCTCAGCGCAGCATTCGGGGGCGGGAGGGCACTGCACTTGTTAACTGGCTGCGGCCGGAGAACCATGACTCAAGCAGGTCGAGGTTCGCGGCATTGCCACCTCTAGTGAGAATTTAAAGCCCAAATATGTGACCAGGTCCCGTCGAATGAGCCGCGATCTGACAGTTAGCGGCATTCATCACCACTGCTTCCGCATGTTCAGCTATCCACGTCTCGGATGAGCTCCCCGTATTCCCGACAGGGTTGTCTTAACAGCGACTGAATCAGACCCGAAAAGCGACTCCAGATGCGGCAGTGGGACTTTCAGCCTGACTTTCTGCCTGACACGTGAGAGTTGCTTTTGGTCTCTATACAACTCTAACTACAAGCGACATAAGGAGGCGATTGACGGTTTTCGAGACGTTCTTTACATGTGGTAACGATTACCAAAATTTAGAGGACGAGAGAGGGTGCTGATGGTCCATTTGCTGGCATCAACTCTTCACGCCTCTCACGTTTTTTTCATATTCAGCTTAAATGGCCCTTTCAGAATATTACTTTGAAATAGTTTTCTCCTGGGTCAAAATCACAAAAAAGATTGCAAGAAAGTTCAAAGCAATATTTCCAAACTGGCTCGCTTGGTTACAAACACCAAGCCCTTTAATGGAGAAAAATAAGATATTCAAAGATAGATAAATGAAATTACCGCAACACGCTGGATTTAATTAGCCGAAATATAGCGTGCCAAAGGAGTCACCAAGAAGATAAGGAGGGAATGCTATTCAAGAACGCCCTACTGACAATTTTGATAGCTGGAAAAGCCT